TTATACACAATGGAGTGAGTGAGTGAGTAGGGATAGGCTGTATGTATTGTCAAAGAACATATGATTATTGCACTACCCATGTACTGTAGCTAGTACGTTTTTATACACTATGGAGTGAGTAACCGAGCAGGGATAGACTGAATGTATTGTCAAACAACATGTGGTTATTGCACTTAGAATGTACTGTAGCTAGTACGTTTTTATACACTAAGGACTGAGTGAGTAGGGATAGACTGTACGTTTTGTCAAACAACATATGAATATTGCACTACCAATGTACTGTAGCTAGTACGTTTTTATACACTAAGTGAGTGAGTGAGTGAGGTAATGCTTTACGTCACATCGGCAATATACACTAAGGAGTGAGTGAGTGAGTAGGGATAGATTGCATGTATTGTGAAACAACAAATGAATATTGCACTACCGATGTACTGTCGCTACTACGTTTTTATACACTAAGGAGTGAGTGATTGAGTAGGGATAGACTGTATGTATTGTTAAACAACATATGATTATTGCACTACCAATGTACTGTAGCTAGTACGTTTTTATACACTAAGGAGTGAGTGAGTGAGTAGGGATAGACTGTATGTATTGGCAAACAACATATGATTATTGCACTACCCATGTACTGTAGCTACTACATTATATACACTAAGGAGTGAGTTAGTGTGTAGGGTTAGACTGTATGTATTGTCAAACAAGATATGATTATTGCACTACCAATGTACTGTAGCTAGTACGTTTTTATACACTAAGGAGTCATTTACCGAGTAGGGATAGACTGAGTGTATTGTCAAACAACATATGATTATTGCACTACCAATGTACTGTAGTTAGTACGTGTTTATACACTAAGGATTAAGTGAGTAGGGATAGACTGTACGTTTTGTCAAACAAGATATAAATATTGCACTACGAATGTACTGTAGCTAGTACGTTTTTATACACTAAGTGAGTGAGTGAGTGAGGTAATGCTTTATGTCACATCGGCAATATACACTAAGGAGTAAGTGAGTGAGTAGGGATAGATTGCATGTATTGTTAAAGAACATATGAATATTGCACTACCAATGTACTGTAGATAATACGTTTTATACACTAAGGAGTGATTGAGTGTGTAGGGATAGACTGAATGTATTGTCAAACAACATATGATTATTGCACTACCAATGTACTGTAGCTAGTACGTTTTTATACACTAAGGAGTGATTGACTAAGTAGGGATAGACTGAATGTATTGTCAAACAACATATGATTATTGCACTACCAATGTACTGTAGATAATACGTTTTATACACTAAGGAGTGAGTGAGTGTGTAGGGATAGACTGTATGTATTGTCAAACAACATATGATTATTGCACTACCAATGTACTGTAGCTAGTACGTTTTTATACACTAAGGAGAGAGTGACTGAGTAGGGATAGACTGAATGTATTTTCAAACAACATGTGGTTATTGCACTACCAATGTACTTTAGCTACTTCGTTTTTATACAATGAGTGCGTGAGTGAGTGAGTTAGTGAATGAGTAGGGATAGACTGTATGTATTGTCAAAATCATATTGTTATTGCACTACCAATGTACTGTACATACTACTTTGTTTTATACACTAACGAGTGAGTGAGTGAGTAGGGATTTACGCCCCATTTAGCAATTATAACTTACATGACAATGAGTGTGACAAGATATAAAACGATAGAAAAGTATCTAACTCTTCTTGACACAAGGAAATATTTTTGAAATTATACCCGTGGTCATATTCACATCATACTTTATCAATCAAAGACGAGCATGAGAAGATTAATACCATGATTGCAAGATGAGCAGATTCCTGCACGCATTCCTAGATCAAGTGCGTGCGCAAGCACTCGACAGCCATCCGCTGTCGGGAAACAGATGGAGGGTTCCAGTCTCACAAATCTCGATCTGAGTGACCTAAATAAGGTGACTGCTCCCGGCATACTTTAATTTCAAGAGATCTACACGATGTAATGTTCGCATTGTGCTTACGGACGTTGTTTATCCAAATTGCATATATGAAACAATAAATATTGTACAACATTGAACATATTACAAATTGAAAATAAATATTTACATTTCATACGAGAACTTAGTACTATTTGACCAGCCCCCGTATTGACGTTCCATGACTTTGTGTTGGTCACCAGTCGCCAATGCGCTTTGCGTTGCCTACCGTAGATGTGTAGTGAGTGAGTGAGTGAGTTTGGTTTTACGCCGCTTTTAGCAATATTCCAGCAATATCACGGCGGGGGACACTAGAAATGGGCTTCACACATTGTGCCCATGTCGGGAATCGAACCCGGGTCTTCGGCGTGACGTGCGAACGCTTGAACCACTAGGCTACCCGACCGCCCCTCCCGTAGATGTGTAAGAAAGGCATGATATTGGGTTCGAATCCACACAAGCATGGTCCCCGTGCTCATTTGCTTCACAAAAATGGTAAACGTCTCAGAGTTGCATTACTTTGGAGTTTAATCCCTCATCTAGCTGCCGTGATATAAGGTGAGGTGAGGTGAAATGGGGTTTAACGTCGCGTCCAAGATTATTGCACTTATATAGCGACGTGCATGCACATGTGTTTGTGTGGCTGCTTGTACTAGTCCGGACTGATGCCGATTTATAGTGCTAGCTCACTGAGATACCATGCCGCAGTTTAACATGAATACCCCACTCAGACACAGTATACTGACTCCGAGCCGACCAGTCCTTGTTTTAGCCCCTTAATGCCGAGCGCCAGACAGGGTAACAACAGTTACAATCTTTTAACGTCTTTTGGTATGACGCGGTCGGGGATCGAACCCCGGACCTTCCGCTCTCCGGGCGGACGCTCTACCACTAGACCACGGAGGCGGTCGCCGTGATATAACTTACCCCGCTATAGCGTTGTTGTAAGTGATGTTAACATTGACACCTGATCGTACATGGCGGTGACTGACGTGAGTGTAGGCACGGGCAGTGCGATACCAGTGCCACACCCACTTCAAGAGTGAGTGAGTGAGTGAATATGGTTTTACGCCGCTTTTAGCAATATTCAAGCAATATCACGGCGGGGGACACCAGAAATGGGCTTCACACATTGTACCCACGTCGGGAATCGAACCCGGATCTTCGGCGCGATGAGCCAACGCTTGAAACACTAGGCTACCCGACCGCCGACCACACACTTCAAGAAGAGGACATATCGTCTATTGATCTCCAACAGTTACATTACATTTTACCTCAGAGAAACAACGCAATTGATAGACGCGTTCTCATGAAATCTTATAAATGACGTTTTTGACGAGTCGTATACATGCAAACAAAAGAGACAAAATCTTTTCCATGTCCATAAGAAGTGTTATAGTGAGTGAGTGAGTGAGTGAGTGAGTCTGATTTCACGCCGCTTTAGCAATATTCCAGCAATATGACGGCGGGGGACACAAGAAATGAGACTCACACATTGTACACATTTTTGGAATCGAACCTTGATCTTCGGCGCGATGAGCCAGCGCTTTAACCACCAGGCTACCCGACTGCCCCTAAGAAGTGTTATAAAAAGAGTCGATTGTACATTTTCGACCATATCAAGAGCATGTCAAACAATGACGATACATGGTGTTCAAACTGTCTGGGACCTCTGAAGATACATATGTAACTGTGTATGTAGCTGTGTCACCACGTTTTGTAAGAAAACCCCGTGGATCTAGGAGTGACGGTTTTCCTTAAGTTTGTTATGTAGGAAAGTGGAGTACAACGTAGAAAAATGAAACGTTTTGACAGAATTAAATTTCTTGTTTCTGAGATTGCACCATTTCAAGCACTGACATAATAACTGACATAAGAACTGACATAAGAACTGACATATGCCAAGGTTTAAGAAAACCACCTTATTTACAACAGTATCTCACTGGGCTCCCTTACGTTCTCCGTGCTACCTCCTCTCATACAGTACACTACGGTTACAACGAACTCAAAGGGGCAACTAACTTCAGTTCGTAATAACCGTAGTTCGTTATAAGCATATATACAGCATATGCAACAAATGGCCGGGACTAAAATAAAAGTTATATCGGTCAGTTCGTTATAAGCGTGTTCGTTATGAACGTAGTTCATTGTACTATGTTAGACTAAATGATGACACAAATACAAGAACGTTTTAAGGAATATGTTTTTGTGAATGAAATAGAGTGATGCATACTATTTATAGACGAACGCTTTTTACTTACCAATATATAAATACCGCATTGTACAAACGCAATAGGCGTTTGCCGAATATGCAACTGACGAGCAACTGCATATAATGTTTTTTGTTTAGGATGTATGGTTCATAACGACCATCTTCAAATAATAATGGTTACTTTGTTCAAGATCTACATGAACATCTAATTATTGAAATACAATTTCCCTTTTGCGTTCCAAACTACGCCGAATATTTGGAAATTAATTCATAAACGTACACACAAGTTTCAATGATAATATGTTGGTCACGCCCGAAATGACGATGGCTCCATGTCGATGGCAAGATTAGGTGGGAATTTATTGCATTTGATGCATTTATGCAATTTATCAAGCATTATGGTTATTTTTACGGAAAACTGTTTAGAATGAAAACTTCAAAACTTTATTGAGTTATTGAGTTATTGTGAAATGCAATAGAGCATGCTGCACAACTTGAAACAGAAATCTAGAAAAACGCAAACAACAGGCATAAAAGCAAATATGGTCACTAGCATCGACATATTCTCAACACTGATCCGAATTTGTGTCATTCTAAACCCACCGACATAAAGAAAGACTTCGCGGGAGTCAGTCCGTAACACAGCCCTTCACATTCACCAGCTCAGTTTTCATATGTTACAGTGAGAGATGAACCAGGCACGCTTACACCAAGAATAACACTAATTATGTAGCAGGCTGCGAGGCAGCAAATCAAGAAATTAACATAACTTTGATGCCGTAGGGTTACATAATTCAAAGTATTGATACGTGATTTACCTTTTGCTACTTTTCCATGGAAACAGGACGCTAAATATCTCCTACTTCAGACTGCTGCTGACACTTGGTCTACATCCCTATCAGCCAACACCACGCGACACCGCAGGATGACCACGTCATATATCTGTAGTGACTGTACTACATGTTACAATAATAGATGATGGTCGATTTATTTCTGAGAAGTGTGACAACAAGTGTGGTCAAAAGGAATGCTGCGGGATCAACCCGGATCTTAAAATAATGAACACAATTGTTAGAACGCGATGATAATGAACGTGACACCTGGTGTTAACATGCTCAAGGGAATAATGCGGGATCACCCCAGGTTTAACAACAATGAATACAATTGTTAGAACGATGACAACAAGAGTGACACCTGGTGTTAACATGCTTAAAGGAATAATGCGTGATCACCCCAGGTGTTACAATAATGAATACAATTGTTAGAACGATGATAACAAGAGTGACACCTGGTGTTAATATGCTTAAAGGAATAACGCGGGATCACCCCAGGTGTTACAATAATGAATACAATTGTTAGAACGATGATAAGAAGAGTGACACCTGGTGTTAATATGGTCAAGGGAATAATGCGGGATCACCCCAGGTTTTACAATAATGAATACAATTGTTAGAACGATGATAACAAGCGTGACACCTGGTGTTAACATGCTCAAGGGAATAATGCGGGATCACCCCAGGTTTTACAATAATGAATACAATTGTTAGAACGATGATAAGAAGAGTGACACCTGGTGTTAACATGCTCAAGGGAATAATGCGGGATCACCCAGGTGTAATAAAAATGAATACAATTGTTAGAACGATGATAACAAGAGTGACACCTGGTGTTAACATGCTTAAAGGAATAATGCGGGATCACCCCAGGTTTTACAATAATGAATACAATTGTTAGAACGATGATAACAAGCGTGACACCTGGTGTTAACATGGTCAAGGGAATAATGCGTGATCACCCCAGGTTTTACAATAATGAATACAAGTGTTAGAACGATGACAAAAAGAGTGACACCTGGTGTTAACATGCTCAAGGAAATAATGCGGGATCACCCCAGGTTTTACAATAATGAATACAATTGTTAGAACGATGACAACAAGCGTGACACCGTGTTAACATGGTCAAAAGGAGCAAGAATCTTTAGGAGATAATAACATAACACAACCTTTCCCACACACATACACACCAACACACCAAATCAGGGCCCCGTTGCACAAAGCGATCTTAGCACTAAGTCTGTCGTAAGTCTATGTTAAAGTATGGGAGTTACGATCATCTTAGCGCTACGATCGCTTTGTGGTACGGGGCCCTGGAACAATTCTGCAATTGACTTTGGGTACTTACACCCCACTTTGGATATCTTCAGTTCAGTGAAGAAAATAATAATGCTGTTCAGTATTTTTCAATATCCGGAAAGGCCAAGTTCACCACTAGTCTGATCTTCTTTTTTTCATCTAAAAATATTCAAGGTGTCCTATATGGTTTTGGTGGCATTGTCTGCTTCGTTGTGCATTCGTCCATCCCGGTGTTCGTATGACATGTTTCTAAAAGTTAGCACCCATGTTTCCTGCCAGAAATAATCCAGCATATGAGTGGATGAGTGAGTGGGTGAGTGAGTTGGGTTTAACGCCGCTTTTAACAGTATTCCAGTTATATCGCGGCGTGTCAGCTTAATGTGGGAGGAAAGCCCGAAGTGATGCAGGTCTCAGACGTTTACCACTTCGGTGAAACCCACGAGCACGGGAGTTGTGCTGACAAACCTAGAAACATAATCGGGGCGAACCGGGATTCGAACCCACAATCATAGGTTTCTGGCGTGCCTAAGGGACGCAACTCTGCACAGTAATGTGACTGGATGAGGGTCACGGAACTTCATATTATGATAGCAGAGTGTAGAGCGAGTATTTGAGGCATATACGATACGATGATATGGATCAACCAAGTCAGCAAGCCTGACCACCCGATCGATCCCGTTAGTCGCTGCTACCTGCATTTTAGTGGGATATGTGACTCTTTCGTGGGCTGCGTTGTACGTCCATTTCATGCCGCCAAACTTGGACTTGCTAAAGGTAGGGTGCTAATGTTAATTTCCTCTGAAAACTCCCGGGCGGTCGGGTAGCCTAGTGGTTAAAGCGTTCGCTCGTAACGCCGAAGACCCGGGCTCGATTCCCGAAGTGGGTACAATGTGTGAAACCCATTTCTGGTTTCCCCCGCCATGATACTGCTTGAATATTGCTAAAAGCGGCGTAAAACTACACTCACCCACTCACTCGCTGTCTGCTTGTGTGAGAACTCACCATGGCTCATCGCCATACTTCCAAAATAATGTGACACACGTCAAGGGTGTACCCTGAGTCTCCGTATCTTCATGACTTTCATAAACCAGCTCACCATACATCAAAAGTAACAGTGGCACACGTCAAGGGTGTACCCTGAGTTTCCATTTCTTCATCACTTTTCATAAACCAGCTCAACTTACTTCAAAAGTAACATAGGCACACGTCAAGGGTGTACCCTGAGTCCCCACATCTTCATCACTTTCATAAACCAGCTCACCATACTTCAAAAGTAACATAGGCACACGTCAAGGGTGTACCCTGAGTTTCCATTTCTTCATCACTTTTCATAAACCAGCTCAACTTACTTCAAAAGTAACAGTGGCACACGTCAAGGGTGTACTCTGAGTCTCCGTATCTTCATGACTTTCATAAACCAGCTCACCATACTTCAAGAGTAACAGTGGCACACGTCAAGGGTGTACCCTGAGTCTCCGTATCTTCATGACTTTCATAAACCAGCTCACCATACTTCAAAAGTAACAGTGGCACAAGTCAAAGGTGTACCCTGAGTCTCCGTATCTTCATGACTTCCATAAACCAGCTCACCATACTTCAAAAGTAACAGTGGCACAAGTCAAAGGTGTACCCTGAGTCCCCATATCTTCATCACTTTCATCAACCAGCTAACCATACTTCAAAAGTAACAGTGGCACACGTCAAGGGTGTACTTTGAGTCCATATATCTTCATCACTTTCATAAACCAGCTCACCATACTTCAAAAGTAACAGTGGCACACGTCAAGGGTGCACCCAGAGTCCCCATATCTTGATGACTTCCATAAACCAGCTCACCATACTTCAAAAGTAACATAGGCACACGTCAAGGGTGTACCCTGAGTCTCAATATCTTCATGACTTTCATAAACCAGCTCACCATACTTCAAAAGTAACAGTGGCACACGTCAAGGGTGTACCCTGAGTCCCAATATCTTCATCACTTTCATCAACCAGCTCACCATACTTCAAAAGTAACAGTGGCACACGTCAAGGGTGTACCCTGAGTCCCAATATCTTCATCACTTTTATAAACCAACTCACCATACTTCAAAAGTAACAGTGGCACACGTCAAGGGTGCACCCTGAGTCCCCATATCTTGATGACTTCCATAAACCAGCTCACCATACTTCAAAAGTAACAGTGGCACACGTCAAGGGTGTACCCTGAGTCCCCACATCTTCATCACTTTCATAAACCAGCTCACCATACTTCAAAAGTAACAGTGGCACACGTCAAGGGTGTACCCTGAGTCCCCATATCTTTATCACTTTCATAAACCAGCTCACCATACTTCAAAAGTAACGGTGGCACACGTCAAGGGTGTACCCTGAGTCTCCGTATCTTCATGACTTTCATAAACCAGCTCACCATACTTCAAAAGTAACAGTGGCACACGTCAAGGGTGTACCCTGAGTCCCCATATCTTCATCACTTTCATAAACCAGCTCACCATACTTCAAAAGTAACAGTGGCACACGTCAAGGGTGTACCCTGAGTCCCCATATCTTGATGACTTCCATAAACCAGCTCACCATACTTCAAAAGTAACATAGGCACACGTCAAGGGTGTACCCTGAGTCCCCATATCTTCATCACTTTCATAAACCAGCTCAGCATACTTCGAAAGTAACAGTGGCACACGTCAAGGGTGTACTCTGAGTCCCAATATCTTCATCACTTCCATCAACCAGCTCACCATACTTCAAAAGTAACAGTGGCATACGTCAAGGGTGTACCCTGAGTCCCCATATCTTGATGACTTCCATAAACCAGCTCACCATACTTCAAAAGTAACATAGGCACACGTCAAGGGTGTACCCTGAGTCCCCATATCTTCATGACTTCCATAAACCAGCTCACCATACTTCAAAAGTAACATAGGCACACGTCAAGGGTGTACCCTGAGTCTCCATATCTTCATGACTTTCATAAACCAGCTCACCATACTTCAAAAGTAATAGTGGCACACGTCAAAGGTGTACCCTGAGTCCCAATATCTTCATCACTTTCATCAACCAGCTCACCATACTTCAAAAGTAACAGTGGCACACGTCAAGGGTGTACCCTGAGTCCCAATATCTTCATCACTTTCATCAACCAGCTCACCATACCTCAAAAGTAACAGTGGCTGAGTCCCCATATCTTCATGACTTTCATAAACCAGCTCACCATACTTCAAAAGTAACAGTGGCACACGTCAAGGGTGTACCCTGAGTCCCCATATCTTCATCACTTTTATAAACCAACTCACCATACTTCAAAAGTAACAGTGGCACACGTCAAGGGTGCACCCTGAGTCCCCATATCTTGATGACTTCCATAAACCAGCTCACCATACTTCAAAAGTAACAGTGGCACACGTCAAGGGTGTACCCTGAGTCCCCACATCTTCATCACTTTCATAAACCAGCTCACCATACTTCAAAAGTAACAGTGGCACACGTCAAGGGTGTACCCTGAGTCCCCATATCTTTATCACTTTCATAAACCAGCTCACCATACTTCAAAAGTAACGGTGGCACACGTCAAGGGTGTACCCTGAGTCTCCGTATCTTCATGACTTTCATAAACCAGCTCACCATACTTCAAAAGTAACGGTGGCACACGTCAAGGGTGTACCCTGAGTCCCCATATCTTCATCACTTTCATAAACCAGCTCACCATACTTCAAAAGTAACAGTGGCACACGTCAAGGGTGTACCCTGAGTCTCAATATCTTCATGACTTCCATAAACCAGCTCACCATACTTCAAAAGTAACATAGGCACACGTCAAGGGTGTACCCTGAGTCTCCATATCTTCATGACTTTCATAAACCAGCTCACCATACTTCAAAAGTAACAGTGGCACACGTCAAGGGTGTACCCTGAGTCCCAATATCTTCATTACTTTCATCAACCAGCTCACCATACTTCAAAAGTAACAGTGGCACACGTCAAGGGTGTACCCTGAGTCCCCATATCTTGATGACTTCCATAAACCAGCTCACCATACTTCAAAAGTAACATAGGCACACGTCAAGGGTGTACCCTGAGTCTCAATATCTTCATGACTTTCATAAACCAGCTCACCATACTTCAAAAGTAACAGTGGCACACGTCAAGGGTGTACCCTGAGTCCCAATATCTTCATAACTTTCATAAACCAGCTCAACATACTTCAAAAGTAACAGTGGCACACGTCAAGGGTGTACCCTGAGTCCCCATATCTTCATCACTTTTATAAACCAACTCACCATACTTCATAAGTAACAGTGGCACACGTCAAGGGTGCACCCTGAGTCCCCATATCTTGATGACTTCCATAAACCAGCTCAACATACTTCAAAAGTAACAGTGGCACACGTCAAGGGTGTACCCTGAGTCCCCACATCTTCATCACTTTCATAAACCAGCTCACCATACTTCAAAAGTAACAGTGGCACACGTCAAGGGTGTACCCTGAGTCCCCATATCTTTATCACTTTCATAAACCAGCTCACCATACTTCAAAAGTAACGGTGGCACACGTCAAGGGTGTACCCTGAGTCTCCGTATCTTCATGACTTTCATAAACCAGCTCACCATACTTCAAAAGTAACAGTGGCACACGTCAAGGGTGTACCCTGAGTCTCCGTATCTTCATGACTTCCATAAACCAGCTCACCATACTTCAAAAGTAACAGTGGCACACGTCAAGGGTGTACCCTGAGTCTCCATATCTTCATGACTTTCATAAACCAGCTCACCATACTTCAAAAGTAACAGTGGCACACGTCAAGGGTGTACCCTGAGTCCCAATATCTTCATCACTTTCATAAACCAGCTCACCATACTTCAAAAGTAACAGTGGCACACGTCAAGGGTGTACCCTGAGTCCCCATATCTTGATGACTTCCATAAACCAGCTCACCATACTTCAAAAGTAACATAGGCACACGTCAAGGGTGTACCCTGAGTCTCCATATCTTCATGACTTTCATAAACCAGCTCACCATACTTCAAAAGTAACAGTGGCACACGTCAAGGGTGTACCCTGAGTCCCAATATCTTCATCACTTTCATCAACCAGCTCACCATACTTCAAAAGTAACAGTGGCACACGTCAAGGGTGTACCCTGAGTCCCAATATCTTCATCACTTTCATCAACCAGCTCACCATACCTCAAAAGTAACAGTGGCTGAGTCCCCATATCTTCATGACTTTCATAAACCAGCTCACCATACTTCAAAAGTAACAGTGGCACACGTCAAGGGTGTACCCTGAGTCCCCATATCTTCATCACTTTTATGAACCAACTCACCATACTTCAAAAGTAACAGTGGCACACGGCAAGGGTGCACCCTGAGTCCCCATATCTTGATGACTTCCATAAACCAGCTCACCATACTTCAAAAGTAACAGTGGCACACGTCAAGGGTGTACCCTGAGTCTCCGTATCTTCATGACTTTCATAAACCAGCTCACCATACTTCAAAAGTAACAGTGGCACACGTCAAGGGTGTATCCTGAGTCCCCACATCTTCATCACTTTCATCAACCAGCTCACCATACTTCAAAAGTAACAGTAGCACACGTCAAGGGTGTACCCTGAGTCCCCATATCTTTATCACTTTCATAAACCAGCTCAACATACTTCAAAAGTAACAGTGGCACACGTCAAGGGTGTACCCTGAGTCCCCATATCTTCATCACTTTCATAAACCAGCTCACCATTCTTCAAGAGTAACAGTGGCACACGTCAAGGGTGTACCCTGAGTCCCCATATCTTGATGACTTCCATAAACCAGCTCACCATACTTCAAAAGTAACAGTGGCACACGTCAAGGGTGTACCCTGAGTCTCCGTATCTTCATGACTTTCATAAACCAGCTCACCATACTTCAAAAGTAACAGTGGCACACGTCAAGGGTGTACCCTGAGTCCCCATATCTTCATCACTTTCATAAACCAGCTCAACATACTTCAAAAGTAACAGTGGCACACGTCAAGGGTGTACCCTGAGTCCCAATATCTTCATCACTTTCATCAACCAGCTCACCATACTTCAAAAGTAACAGTGGCACACGTCAAGGCTGCACCCTGAGTCCCCATATCTTCATCACTTTCATCCACAAGCTCACCATACTTCAAAAGTAACAGTGGCACACGTCAAGGGTGTACCCTGAGTCCCCATATCTTCATCACTTTCATCCACAAGCTCACCATACTTCAAAAGTAACAGTGGCACACGTCAAGGGTGTACCCTGAGTCCCAATATCTTCATCACTTTCATCAACCAGCTCACCATACTTCAAAAGTAACAGTGGCACACGTCAAGGCTGCACCCTGAGTCCCAATATCTTCATCACTTTCATCAACCAGCTCACCATACTTCAAAAGTAACAGTGGCACACGTCAAGGGTGTACCCTGAGTCCCCATATCTTCATCACTTTCATAAACCAGCTCACCATACTTCAAAAGTAACAGTGGCACACGTCAAGGGTGTACCCTGAGTCCCCATATCTTCATCACTTTCATCAACCAGCTCACCATACTTCAAAAGTAACAGTGGCACACGTCAAGGCTGCACCCTGAGTCCCAATATCTTCATCACTTTCATCAACCAGCTCACCATACTTCAAAAGTAACAGTGGCACACGTCAAGGCTGCACCCTGAGTCCCCATATCTTCATCACTTTCATCAACCAGCTCACCATACTTCAAAAGTAACAGTGGCACACGTCAAGGGTGTACCCTGAGTCCCCATATCTTCATCACTTTCATAAACCAGCTCACCATACTTCAAAAGTAACAGTGGCACACGTCAAGGGTGTACCCTGAGTCCCCATATCTTCATCACTTTCATAAACCAGCTCACCATTCTTCAAGAGTAACAGTGGCACACGTCAAGGGTGTACCCTGAGTCCCCATATCTTGATGACTTCCATAAACCAGCTCACCATACTTCAAAAGTAACAGTGGCACACGTCAAGGGTGTACCCTGAGTCCCCATATCTTGATGACTTCCATAAACCAGCTCACCATACTTCAAAAGTAACAGTGGCACACGTCAAGGGTGTACCCTGAGTCCCCATATCTTCATCACTTTCATCAACCAGCTCACCATACTTCAAAAGTAACAGTGGCACACGTCAAGGGTGTACCCTGAGTCCCCATATCTTCATCACTTTCATCAACCAGCTCACCATACTTCAAAAGTAACAGTGGCACACGTCAAGGGTGTACCTTGACTCCCCATTTCTTCATTACCTTCATGAACCAGCTTTCTGTAATGATGGAGGAGGAAGCAGGGATAAGTGTTTTATAGCTCACCACGTGTCTGACGTGTTTTCATTATTATTTGCTTGTGATGTCTCATCTGTACCTGACACTGCTGCCAAGCTTAAAAAAAAAAAAAGAAAAAAAAAAAGGGGGGCACGGGTGCCCCAGTCGTCTAAGGCGCCGCGATTCGCTGTGCAGAGTTGCGTCCCTTGGGCACGCCAGAAACCTATGATTGTGGGTTCGAATCCCGGTTCGCCCCGATTATGTTTCTAGGTTTGTCAGCACCATACCCGTGCTCGTTGGTTTCACCTTAGTGGTAATCGTCTGAGACCTGCATCACTTCGGGCTTTCCTCCCACATTAAGCTGACACACCGTGATATAACTGGAATACTGTTAAAAGCGGCGTTAAACCCAACTCACTCACTCACTCACTCAAAACAAAAAGTTCTGGGACGCTTTTGTGCAGAACCATGAATGGAAGCAAATCTCAACGAAGTTAAAATTATGGTATTTCCAAATGGATGTCCCCTCTGCATAAATGAAAAATGGTTTCTTGGAGAAGAAATAGAAATTATCCCCTAAATTGTCACGGACAAAGGCTAAACATTGTTTAGCATAACAAGCGAGAAAAGCTGTATTCTCAATTGACAACTATCAGAAACATTTTGGATATGCAAGTCATAATGCTCTTTGTAACATTGTAGATGCTCGGACGGTCGGGTAGCCTAGTGGGTAAAGCGTTCGCTCGTCGCGCCGAAAACCCGGGTTCGATTCCCGAAGTGGGTACAAAGTGTGAAGCCCATTTCTGGTGTCCCCCGCCGTGATATTGCTTGAATATTGCTAAGTGCGGCGTAAAAACAAACTCACTCAGTCACTGTTAATGCTATCATCACAACTATTCTGTGCTATTGGTCCTACGTATGTGGAACCGCTTATTGTAACATGAGAGAGAGTGTGCACACGAGATTCTTTAAATCATTTCTGAGAGTTTACAAGTATACAATGCAATATCGTTATAATATATGTACATTCAGGGCAGTTAAGTACTGGCGCAGAATGACACAGGTACCACAGTATAGACTTCCCCACCAAGCATATAAAATAAATAAAACTCTTGATGATAATGGTAAACATACATTGGATCTTATATGAAAAATATTTTATTAAGATATGGTTTTGAATTTATAAAGCTCTCTCAGGACATTGGCTGCATCTCATCATTGAAAGGGGGGCACGGGTGGCCCATTCGTCGGAGGCGCCGCGATTCGCTGTGCAGAGTTGCGTCCCTTGGGCACGCCAGAAACCTATTATGGTGGGTTCGAATACCGGGTCACCCCGATTATGTTTCTGGGTTTGTCAGCACCATACCCGTGCTCGTTGGTTTCATCGAAGTGGTAAGCGTCTGAGACCTGCATCACTTCAGGCTTTCCTCCCACATTAAGCTGACACGCCGCGATATAACTGGAAAATTGTTAAAAGCGGCGTTAAACCCAACTCACTCACTCACTCACTCACTCATCATTGATAGTAATACTCAAACAGGGATTTTATGACTGATTCTTTCAATATAGGCATCAATCCCTCGACACTTCATCTAATCGTAATTATTATTCTCAGTTTGAATCTTAACTAAATGTAGGAACCTATTAATCTTGTGACCTTCTCTCTTACCAACAGAATATATTAACCATGTTTCGGTGTAATAACTTCAGACTTGCTGTTGAATGCGGCCGCCCTACAAACACTCCATAGACCACCGCCTCCGTGGTCTGATGGTAGAGCGTCCGCCCAGAGAGCGGAAGGTCCGGGGTTCAATGCCCAGCCGCGTCATACCAAAAGACGTTAAAAGATGGTACTTGTTGTTACCCTGTCTGGTGCTCGACATTAAGGGGCTTAAACAAGGATTGGTTGGCGCGGAGTCAGTATACTGTGTCTGAGTGGGGTATTCATGTTAAACTGCGGCATGGTATCTCAGTGAGCTAGCACTATAAATCTGCATCAGTCCGGACTAGTACAAACAGCCACACACACATACACATACATGCACGTCGCTATATAAGTGCAATAATCTTGGACGCGACGTTAAACCCCATTTCACCTCACCTCCATATACCGATAGCTTCTGTTTGTTCTGCCATTCAAGAGGCTTTGGTCATATTGAGGATGAATTAATGTGTTGTATACATGTGACACCTATTCCCAACTGAGAAGAGAATGTCTCGCTAATCATCTCATAAATCCACCAATAACTGAACATTTGCAAGTCTTCTGTCAGCCGATCGCGACAATATCGATAGTGTTAAATGTTTGATTGTCAAAGACTAGAGACTAGAAGCATCATATCGCTGAATGCGGCGTTAAACAACAACAAAAAAACGAACGAAAAATCCCTGCAACACAAAGTGTACTTTTCTCCAACCGTTTATTCAGCACATACATTTAATCATTTTTCCCATCTTGTTTGTATTATGGTCCTAGGGCCGAAAGAACTGAATAAAGTACATTTGTCTGAGTGAAAACAACATACCATTCTGATAACCACACACTTTCATTCAACACGCATGCGCATGCGTCCTCTTCACAACAGTTGTGTACTGCAGTTATCTCCATTACACCAATCACCTGGCAGTGGCGGGGGCTTCGTGGGGTTTGAACGTCCAACTCATGAAGTAACACATGGGCTCATGCGATTAAATAAATTACCTTCTTGATATTAAAATACTCGTGCACATGGTCAAGTGGGCACACTCACACACTGATATTGAAAAGCCTATCATGATATTGATGAACACGTGATTCTGATTGGTCATAACAGGATCTGATCCCATCGCATGCCGTTTCACATAGAGTGAGTGAGTGAGTGAGATTTAAGCTGAGAATAATGATTACGATTAGATGAAGTGTCGAGGGATTGATGCCTATATTGAAAGAATCAGTCATAAAATCCCTGTTTGAGGATTACTATCAATGATGAGTGAGTGAGTGAGTGAGTGAGTTGGGTTTAACGCCGCTTTTAACAGTATTCCAGTTATATCACGGCGTGTCAGCTTAATGTGGGAGGAAAGCCCGAAGTGATGCAGGTCTCAGACGTTTACCACTTCGGTGAAACCCACGAGCACGGGTATTGTGCTGACAAACCTAGAAACATAATCGGGGCGAACCGGGATTCGAACCCACAATCATAAGGTTTCTGGCGTGACCAAGGGACGCAACTCTGCAAAGGTGAGGTGAGGTGAAATGGGGTTTAACGTCGCGTCCAAACTCTGCAAAGCGAATCGCGGCGTCTTAGACGACTGGGCCACCCGCGCCCCCGTTTCACATAGAAACCGTATGAATACAACCAGAGACCATTTAATTATATGGTCTCTGATACAACGAAATCCATATCATACAGCGGCTGCCAACAACTCATTGGAACTGTATACGCTCGACATTGGAACAGAATCGAATGTTTTTAACGTCGATTAACTCCCCATCCCACGTCCCCCGCCTTCACAACAGCTTGGCTTTGCCTCTAGGGGGCACTCAGCCTTTCTCGTCCCGTGCGGTGTCGTCTCCACCTCTCCGCAAGACACACCAGGCTCGCTTGGGCACCACTGCTTCAGTTTCTCTACTCCGCCATCTTGCACCTGACCAGAAGAATAGGCCGGGCCAACTCTGCCCCAACAGCTTGGTGAAATCTTCCCGACCCGTCTGCATAGGGATTTGCAGCAGGTGCCCCGAATCTAAACAACCACTCCTGCTGTGGTAGCATCTATTTACCACCCATACCTTCATAACGTTCTGATCATCAAAACTGCAGATATAAACCTCCGTCGCTCAAGTCTTGACGTCCGCTTTCTTTTGATCTCATGCTGCTGCCATTTCACCTCAGTTTATGAAAAACCAGTCCTCCACCCAGGAGATCATAGGCTCTGTCATCTCCTGATCTGATTGAGAACAAAGTCAAGCTTGCTGTAGAATGTCGTGTCGTACTCCCTGTGTCCTGCCCGTTCCCGTCTGGTCTGATCATGGTACCACTCTTCCAGACACGACAGGCCAGCCGGCTGGAACCCCTCCTCGAACTTGTTGGCAAACAGATGTCTCTTCGTGATCAACTGGGCGACGTCACCCGCCCCCAGCACACAGATTTCCCTCAGGTACTTGCCCCGGCAGTCGTCTTTGTAAGCCAGCAGGCCGTGGTCCCAGTTCTTATATCGAGCAAGGAATGGTTCAAGGCGTGGAACACCTGCAAAATCAGGGAGATAGTACCATTACGTGACATTATGGGCAGTGTGTGCTGTGTGTGTGAGTGTGTGTGTGTGTGTATGTGTGTGTGTGTGTGTGGTAGATCGGTGTTTGTGGGTGGGGGAGGGTATACGTGTGTGGTTGGTGTGTGTGTTCATTCGATGCCCCTGGTATGCTCGAGGTGTAGACACTTACTCTTGAATGTCCCAGGTATGTTGAGGTCAGGGTGTAGTCACTTACCCTTGAATGTCCCTGGTATGTTGAGATCGGGATGTAGACACTTACCCTTGAATGTCCTTGGTATGTTGAGGTCGGGGTGTAGACACTTACCCTTGAATGTGTTAAACTCAAACTCCTCCTGGCTTCTATAACATTTAATCCACACCATTCAACATGACATTACACAGCCATGTGCGCTTGTCTCGTCAGCGAGAGGGACACACAGACAGCCTCGCTACGTCACAACCAAAGTTAGTTTTCACTACTCGTGATATAGGTAGTTGCGTATTTGAGTAATCTTGACAAATTCCCCTTTTCTTTTAAAATGACGAGCAAGCGCACTAATTTAAAATATGGTTATTTACAGTGACATTGATTTAAAAATACTAAAATATAGTCCACATTTTTTTCTTCTTTTCCTTTTGTTGTTATTATCACAAACATGATCAAAAATACAATTTTCACTAAATGTTCCATATTCACCAAGTCTATGTTGTTGTGATCATGAGTTGTCCACTCTTGATGGTTTCAAGGAGCTTCATGTAAGGTGCGCCTTTCTTTGTTAGGCAATCTGACAACTGGTCACAGGATTGAACCCATACTACCTTAGAGATCTCACCTCTCTGTAGCATCTGTTTGATGCCTGCTATATCTATCCGGAGACGCTTCTCACTGACGGTCTTGGTGGAGTGCACATTTTCATAAAGTGACTTATTGTCAATATAACAGTCTATTGGCACAGCATTTTTCTTAGATCCATTGTGAAGGATTTCACTCAAGAGATGGCCTAAATAACAAACAGAATCCAGACCATCCACCATGGCCAGGGCCTCGGCAGCAAGAGTACTCCTCACTACTCTTCGTATCTTTGTGGCTTTCCATGCAAGAGGACAGCATTTTCTGTCTTTTCCAATCAGAAAAATGATATATCCACCTGCACTGGATACTCCATCACTAAGATTTCCATATGAGGCATCACTGAAAACGCCAAGTCTCAGATCACATGGCATACCCATGTTTTGGAAACGTATCTTGCAGTCATCAGACTTCACCTTTTTTACAATTTTGTTGGCTTTTATCAGGTCTTCTACTGTTGGTTCTTTGATGCTTGTGCTCAGCTCCAGGGAATCAAACATGATGTCAGGCCTGGTTTGGTTAGCGATCCAACTGATCTGGCCAATAATGCTTCGCATCTGTGTAATTTCCTCATCTGTCAGATGAGCACTTTTCTGAGAGGCTCGTGCTGTGCTTACAGGAATCTTTGTCAGATTCTCTACATAGGATAGCTGGTCCATTGTAATGGTTCCTTCCTGTTGGTGAATCTCAAGTCCGATGTATCTAAATATTCCATGTGCTTGTTTGCTTATTTGAAACATCTGTCTCATTTCGTCAATCACTCTCTTCTCAAAGTATTCTGTTCCTGCCCAGATAAAGTCATCCACATGCATAAGAAATAGACCAGAAAGCTTGTCATTGTCATACCAGTAGAATAAGGCAAGGTCAATTTCTGATTGTCTGCAATCCAGTTTCTTTAATTCTTCACAAACTCTAAAATACCAGGTTCTTGAAGCATCGCTCAGACCATAAACACACTTTTCTAGTTTCCATAAGCACCCATCACCATCAGATTCTCTTGGAGGCTTCAGGAAGATTTCTCTGTCAATCTTTTTTCCCTGTAGGAAAGCAGCTTTAATGTCTATTGTTTTACACTGCCATGACATTAAGCATGCCATAGCCAAAACTGCCCTAAGTGTGTCTTTCCCAGCTGTTGGCGAATCACTCTGAATGTTTTGTTCTTCTTCAAACCCACGAGCTACCAGTCTTGCTTTCACTACTTTCTTATTTCCATCCATCTTTTCTGTCACCACCCATCTAGTGGATATAGCTGACTGCCCTTGATCAGGTACTTCTTTATACACTTTGAATTGTTTCCAGTTTTCAAGCTCCAATGCCTTGGCGCGTGTGACATACTGATCATCATGTCGGGAGGATGCAATATTAACTTCTTCAATGTTGCTATCAGTTTCTCTTTCAAACTCCTGAACCTTTTGCCACTGACTGACATCTTTTTCAAAATTCACTGATTTCATATCTGATTCACCTCTTTCACAGACATTAAACCGCCCACGGTATTTTCCAGTTGCTTTTCCTCCTCTACTAATGACTTCCGCTTCCCTCCACATATGGTCTTCCTTGAGAATATATTTCACCTTGTCATTAAGCTTTGGTAGATTTGGTAAACCATCAGCTGTGTGATTTTCAACTATCTCAGATGGGCTATTTCTCCTTGATGGACTCTGTTCATCCTCTAATAGCATGTCACTTTCCACCATCGCAGAACTGGTCCGACTACTCTTGGTCTTTTCAGTTTGAAGTGGCAATGCATCTGCAGAACTGCTGGTCTCTTTGTCAACACTGTCTTGGCTATCGGACTGTTCAAATTCTTGACCAATTTTTAACAGACGACATGTGGGGACTCTAACATAGGTACTTCCATGACGAATAAACACAGTTTTCCCATCTTGACCCAGCACCTTCCCGGGACCTTTCCAATGCTTTTCCTTCATGAAGTAAACTTTATCACCAGTTTGATATACTGACTCTGATGGCCTGATGTTATGTCGTAAAGCCCGTCTAATTCTTTCAGATGACTCAGCTTCAATGAAGGCTTTCCTTGCAGCATGTAGTGAGTTTAGGTGTTTTGCAAACATTTCACTTACAGTGGTACCTTCCAATGCAGGTGGTCTATCAACAAGAGTCGATGGCAGGTTTGGGTTAGCTCCAAATACAAGCTGGTAAGGACTCCATCCATGCACCATCTGTAATGAGTTCTTCGCATTAATCGCCCACACCAGTGCAGTTTCTAGATCAAGTCGTGGGTTGTCAGTCATAACTTTTGAGACACAGTCATCAACCACAGCATGGTTTCTTTCACAGAGCCCATTTTGCCAAGGGCTAAAGCTAGCTGTATTCATTACTTCCACATTCAGGTTTTCCGCCATGTCCCTATATTCTTCATTAGCGAATTCTCCACCATTGTCAGCTAGAAATTTCCTGGGTGTGCCTAGTCCACTCCCGACCCATAATTTCAAAATTTGATCAATGACGACCTCTGGAGTTTTCTTCCTTATGACAGCAGCCAGACTAAACCTTGTGGCCATGTCTATGAGATGAAGGAAGTAGACACCGGTCTTCCAAAACTTCAGATCCATTGCTACCACTTCGTTAAACTTTGTCGCAAGAGGGAGAGAAACAACTGGTCGAGCTGGTGTCTTCTTGAATTTGAGACAAACATCACATTCCTGAGCTACCTCATCAACCAGTGCCTGATTAGTATCGTCCTTGATCCCAGCATCCTCCAGCAGCATCAAGAGTCGTCTACTTGATGGATGCGCAAACTGTCTATGCAGTTTCAAAATCTTTTTCTTTTTTTCTTGCCTTGACTGCCTACTTTGGGAATAAAGGACCTCGAAGGTTTGATTCACGTGCATTGTAGAATGTAATATCGGGATACAGTAGTGCCCTGACGACGTACATTGCAGGTTGATTTCCTTTCCAAAAATCGAGGCTCTATCATTTTCTAAATCCAGTACAACTTTCGCCGCTTTCATGGCTGGTTTTCCAAGTAGAAGAGGAATATCACTTTGTACCACATCAGTAGTTATTGTACAGTTGACACCTGCTATCTCACATGGGAAAGTTACTTTTGCAATAGATTTGAGGAGTCTCCCTCCCCCAAACTTGAAGATAGAGTCACTTTTGGTTCTATTTACTTGTCTCACTTTGTCATCCTCAAGTGTGTCTATATAGCAGTTCATCCAAGCTTCACCTGCAACTGTAGAACTGCATGCACTGTCCAAGACTGCAGAGTTTAAAGATTCATTAACAAGAACCTGTAATTCCTCACCCTTATTACCAGTAAACAACACAAATTCTTCTTGTTTGTCTTGAAACTTTCTCTTTTCCATACTTTCATATGAGTCCGGGCAGTCCTTGATGAAGTGATAAACTGACTCACAAACCTTGCATCGAAGAGGACGTCCATCATGTCCAATTGGATTCTGTACTCGCTGGTTGTCATATGGTTCACTTCGGAATCTGCGTCCGTGATTGTTTCTTGCCTGTGGTCTGCTGGAATGGTTGTTGTTTCCTCTGCCAAAGAAACCATATCCACGTCTACCCCTTCTACTTCGAGTAAAGTAGGCAGTTTCCTCTTCCTCAACATTGGTTGTGTTGGTTGCGACATAAGTTGGTTCTGTCTTTATCTGAATAGCACCACTACCCTCAGATGGCGGCATCGCTTGCTTGCCAAAGAATTTCTTTAAGGACATGGCTGTTTGTTTAAACAATGTTGTATGATTTTCGTAGTTGACACCAGTGAGAACAAATTGTCTGTCCTTATATTCAAGGCAAGCGTTTTCTAGTAACTTGAAAGCAAGCACTGATTCTGGAAGACTCATGTTAAATTTTTTTGTTTTAATGTATAGCTTTTCAAATTCAGTGACATATAAGTCCATAGACTGATCTCTTGATCTTTTGTACCTGTCAAACTCTGTGTACACATCATATGCTTCTGAAAGTTCATCTTTCTTGTAAATATCATCCATAAAAGATATCAGTGTATTGACACCTTCCTTTTTGTTCAACATTCCAACACCCAGTTCATTGAATACCTTGTCACGTATCAAAATGACACCTTCATTCTCAGGTAATGATAGCGCTATAGCTGGCCCTTGTTTATCTTCAGGCAAGTCTGTCACTGTCTGCCACACTCTGACTTCTTCAACCCACCTCCCGTATGGCTTAGATTCCGTAAACACGGGTGGCACTCTGTAATTGCCCGACGCCATTTTCTTTTGTTTGTTTACTCACGCTGTCGCTGTAATTCTTCAAGCTTCTCTACTCACACTCTCTCGTAACCACGCTCTGCTACCATGTTAAACTCAAACTCCTCCTGGCTTCTATAACATTTAATCCACACCATTCAACATGACATTACACAGCCATGTGCGCTTGTCTCGTCAGCGAGAGGGACACACAGACAGCCTCGCTACGTCACAACCAAAGTTAGTTTTCACTACTCGTGATATCGGTAGTTGCGTATTTGAGTAATCTTGACAGAATGTCCCAGGTATGTTGAGGTCAGGGTGTAGACACTTACCCTTGAATGTCCCTGGTATGTTGAGGTGGGGTTGTAGACACTTACCCTTGAATGTCCCTGGTATGTTGAGGTCAGGGTGTAGACACTTACCCTTGAATGTCCCTGGTATGTTGAGGTCGGGGTGTAGACACTTACACTTGAATGTCCTTGGTATGTTGAGGTCGGGGTGTAGACACTTACCCTTGAATGTCCCTGGCATGTTGAGGTCGAGGTGTAGACACTTACCCTTGAATGTCCCTGGTATGTTAAGGTCGGGGTGTGACACTTACTCTTGAATGTCCCAGGTATGTTGAGGTCCGGGTGTAGACACTTACCCTTGAATGTCCCTGGTGTGTTCAGGTCGGGGTGTAAACACTTACCCTTGAATGTCCTTCGTATGTTGAGGTCAAGGTGTAAACACTTACCCTTGAATGTCCCTGGTATGTTGAGGTCGGGGTGTAGACACTTACCCTTGAATGTCCCTGGTATGTTCAGGTCGGGGTGTAGACACTTACTCTTGAATGTCCCTGGTATGTTGAGGTCGGGGTGTAGACACTTACCCTTGAATTTCCTTGGTATGTTGAGGTCGGGGTGTAAACACTTACTCTTGAATGTCCCTGGTATGTTCAGGTCTGGGTGTGACACTTACTCTTGAGTGTCCCTGGTATGTTGAGGTCGGGGTGTAGACACTTACCCTTGAATGTCCCTGGCATGTTGAGGTCGGGGTGTAGACACTTACCCTTGAATGTCCTTGGTATGTTGAGGTCAAGGTGTAAACACCTACCCTTGAATGTCCCAGGTATGTTCAGGTCGGGGTGTAAACACTTACCCTTGAATGTCCCTGGTATGCTGAGGTCGGGGTGTGACACTTACTCTTGAATGTCCTTGGTATGTTGAGGTCGGGGTGTAGACACTTACCCTTGAATGTCCCAGGTATGTTGAGATCAGGGTGTAGACACTTACCCTTGAATGTCCCTGGTATGTTGAGGTCAGGGTGTACACACTTACCCTTGAATGTCCCTGGTATGTTGAGGTCGGGGTGTAGACACTTACCCTTGAATGTCCCAGGTATGTTGAGGTCAGGGTGTAGACACTTACCCTTGAATGTCCCTGGTATGTTGAGGTCAGGGTGTAGACACTTACACTTGAATGTCCTTGGTATGTTGAGGTCGGGGTGTAGACACTTACCCTTGAATGTCCCTGGCATGTTGAGGTCGGGGTGTAGGCACTTACCCTTGAATGTCCCTGGTATGTTAAGGTCGGGGTGTGACACTTACTCCTGAATGTCCCAGGTATGTTGAGGTCCGGGTGCAGACACTTACCCTTGAATGTCCCTGGTGTGTTGAGGTTGGGGTGTAAACACTTACCCTTGAATGTCCTTCGTATGTTGAGGTCAAGGTGTAAACACTTACCCTTGAATGTCCCTGGTATGTTGAGGTCAGGGTGTAGACACTTACCCTTGAATGTCCTTGGTATGTTGAGGTCGGGGTGTAGACACTTACCCTTGAATGTCCTTGGTATGTTGAGGTCGGGGTGTAAACACTTACTCTTGAATGTCCCTGGTATGTTCAGGTCTGGGTGTGACACTTACTCTTGAGTGTCCCTGGTATGTTGAGGTCGGGGTGTAGACACTTACCCTTGAATGTCCCTGGCATGTTGAGCTCGGGGTGTAGACACTTACCCTTGAATGTCCTTTGTATGTTGAGGTCAAGGTGTAAACACCTACCCTTGAATGTCCCAGGTATGTTCAGGTCGGGGTGTAAACACTTACCCTTGAATGTCCCTGGTATGCTGAGGTCGGGGTGTGACACTTACTCTTGAATGTCCTTGGTATGTTGAGGTCAGGGTGTAGACACTTACCCTTGAATGTCCCTGGTATGTTGAGGTCAGGGTGTAGACACTTACCCATGAATGTCCCTGGTATGTTGAGGTCAGGGTGTAGACACTTACTCTTGAATGTCCCTGGTATGTTGAGGTCAAGGTGTAAACACTTACTCTTGAATGTCCTTGGTATGTTGAGGTCGGGGTGTAGACACTTACCCTTGAATGGCCCAGGCATGTTGAGGTCGGGGTGTAGACACTTACCCTTGAATGTCCTTGGTATGTTGAGGTCAGGGTGTAGACACCTACCCTTGAATGTCCTTGGTATGTTGAGGTCGGGGTGTAGACACTTACTCTTGAATGTCCTTGGTATGTTCAGGTCGGGGTGTAAACACTTACCCTTGAATGTCCCAGGCATGTTGAGGTCGGGGTGTAGACACTTACCCTTGAATGTCCTGTGTATGTTGAGGTCGGGGTGTAGACACTTACTCTTGAATGTCCTTGGTATGTTCAGGTCGGGGTGTAACCACTTACCCTTGAATGTCCCTGGCATGTTGAGGTCGGGGTGTAGACACTTACCCATGAATGTCCCTGGTATGTTGAGGTCAGGGTGTAGACACTTACCCTTGAATGTCCCTGGTATGTTGAGGTCAAGGTGTAAACACTTACTCTTGAATGTCCCTGGTATGTTGAGGTCGGGGTGTAGACACTTACCCTTGAATGGCCCAGGCATGTTGAGGTCGGGGTGTAGACACTTACCCTTGAATGTCCTTGGTATGTTGAGGTCAGGGTGTAGACACTTACCCTTGAATGTCCTTGGTATGTTGAGGTCGGGGTGTAGACACTTACTCTTGAATGTCCTTGGTATGTTCAGGTCGGGGTGTAAACACTTACCCTTGAATGTCCCAGGCATGTTGAGGTCGGGGTGTAGACACTTACCCTTGAATGTCCTTGGTATGTTGAGGTCGGGGTGTAGACACTTACTCTTGAATGTCCTTGGTATGTTCAGGTCGGGGTGTAACCACTTACCCTTGAATGTCCCAGGCATGTTGAGGTCGGGGTGTAAACACTTACCCTTGAATGTCCCAGGCATGTTGAGGTCAGGGTGTAGACACTTACCCTTGAATGTCCCTGGTATGTTGAGGTCAGGGTGTAGACACTTACCCTTGAATGTCCTTGGTATGTTGAGGTCGGGGTGTAGACACTTACCCTTAAATGTCCCTGGTATGTTGAGGTCGGGGTGTAGACACTTACCCTTGAATGTCCCTGGTATGTTGAGGTCGGGGTGTAGACACTTACCCTTGAATGTCCCAGGTATGTTGAGGTCGGGGTGTAGTCACTTACCCTTGAATGTCCCTGGTATGTTGAGGTCGGGTGTAGACACTTACCCTTGAATGTCCCAGGTATGTTGAGGTCGGGGTGTAGACACTTACCCTGTAATGTCCCTGGTATGTTGAGGTCAGGGTGTAGACACTTACCCTTGAATGTCCCAGGTATGTTGAGGTCAGGGTTGTAGTTGAGAGTTGAGAAGTAGGTTTCGTCAGGTATTTTTGTGTGTCGGAGCCACTTCTGCAGGTCTTTGGCCACAGGGTCGTGGACGGAGAAGTTGACAAAGTGTCTGTTGACGACGATGTGGACGGAACCAATGACAGGACGGAGACCATGTGGAGCACTGCCTGCGCTCCAGAAACGCCGCATGTTCTCATTGTATCTGGAACAAGTTGGATGTGTTACTGGAACAGTGATTTCACGGGGAGTCAGCAACATTCGGAACTCAAGCTCAAAAAGACATTGGTATGGTGCTGACAAGTTACGGAAAATGGTAAAGGGGAATATTGGATTTGAACCTACGATTATAAGATCCTTGCATGTCTAAGGGGCGCAACTCTCCAAAGTAGTATGTTCGTGTAAATCAACTGACAAGTTACGGAAAATGGTAAAAGGGAATATTGGATTCGAACCTACGATCATAAGATCCTTGCATGTCTAAGGGGCGCAACTCTCCAAAGAAGTATGTTCGAGTAAATTAACTCTTAGTACATCTGTGAATCACTGATTCACCGTACTGATTACTTATAATATTCTCAGATAAATAATAAACGAAAACACACACATACGTAAATGTTCCCGAGTTGAGGAATGGTGAGAGCGCTTGTGTTTTTTAACCATTGTATATGGCTTCAGACATTTAGCACTGGGGACAACATGAATTGAATTCACAAACTGCGGTCATGTTGGGAATCGAACCGCGTCTTTGCAGTGACACGCCAACCACTAGACTACCCCTTATGACGTAACATACAGACCTCGTTGCTGTTCCCGCCACGTCATTGGCTCCCCTGTAGGCCTGAAGGATCTTGACGAGCTGGTAGTTGGTTTTGAGTGGAAACTCCTGGCCCGTCAGATTGATGAAGTACCGCCACTTCCGGTGCTTCAAGAGGTCTTCCATGCATATCAGTTCCGGTTCAAGGACGGAGAATGTTCCCCACTTCACGTCCACTTGACGGGAAGACAAGAACACGTTGTCAAAACACGCCGCCAGGCGGCGCATTTCTTCCAACATGGCCGTGGACTTCCTGTCTACATGGATGCAGTACACATTGCTTGGGCGGTAGACTGCTCGGATAAGTCTCTCGGCTTGATGACTGTTCTTGTACACAAGGATGCTGAAGGCGATGGGGAACTCCATCTCTTCCTTGCTCACGTCGAGGATATACCCCTGGGTCTGTTTGAATGTTTCACAGGACGCTATGGGCGGAAGAACAGGGGGGTTCGGTGGAGCCTGAACGGATATGGCGTTGTATATCTCGGTCTTGTTGCCCTGGAATAACGCTGTACAGTTGACGTGGAACGGGTGGGGCGGGACGGGGACGAACATGAACTCAGCGCTTTGTTTCGCAGAAATGATCATGTTCCTCACCCTGTCCTCCTCCCAGTAGACGATGTAGTAGATGACGAAGGTGATGACGGCCAGCAGGAAGAGCGCCTTCCAGTGGCGCCGCATCTTCCTGTCAAACACAAGCACAGGGTGAATGGATGGACTAACGTTTAAGGTGACAGGATGGACTAAAGTAAAGGTGACTGGATGGAATTAAGTAAAGGTGACTGGACGGACTAAAGTAAAGGTGACTGGATGGACTAAAGTAAAGGTGACTGGATGGACTAAAGTAAAGGTGACTGGATGGAATTAAGTAAAGGTGACTGGATGGGTTAAAGTAATGGTGAATGGATGGACTAAAGTAAAGGTGACTGGATGGACTAAAGTTAAGGTGACTGGATGGACTAAAGTAAGGGGGACTGGATGGACTAAAGTAAAGGTGACTGGGTGGACTAAAATAAAGGTGACTGGGTGGACTTAAGTAAAGCTGACTGGATGGACTAAAGTTAAGGTGACTAGATGGACTAAACTAAAGGTGACTGGATGGACTAAAGTAAAGGTGACTGGATGGACTAAAGTAATGGTGACTAGATGGAGTAAAATAAAGGTGACTGGATGGACTAAAGTAAAGGTGACTGGGTGGACTAAAATAAACGTGACTGGATGGACTAAAGTAAAGGTGACTGGATGGACTAAAGTTAAGGTGACTAGATGGACTAAACTAAAGGTGACTGGATGGACTAAAGTAAAGGTGACTGGGTGGACTAAAGTAAAGGTGACTGGATGGACTAAAGTGAAGGTGACTGGATAGACTAAACTAAAGGTGACTGGATGGACTAAAGTAAAGGTGACTGGATGGACTAAAGTAAAGGTGACTGGATGGACTAAAGAAAATGTGACTGGATAGACTAAAGTAAAGGTGACTGGATGGACTAAACTAAAGGTGACTGGATAGACTAAAGTAAAGGTGACCGGATGGACTCAAGTAAAGGTGACTGGATAGACTAAAGTAAAGGTGACTGGATGGACTAAAGTAAAGGTGACTGGATAGACTAAAGTAAAGGTGACTGGATGGACTAAAGTAAAGGTGACTGGATGGACTAAAGTCAAGGTGACTGGATAGACTAAAGTCAAGGTGACTGGATAGACTAAAGTAAGGGTGACTGGATGGACTCAAGTAAAGGTGACTGGATAGACTAAAGTAAAGGTGACTGGATGGACTAAAGTAAAGATGACTGGATAGACTAAAGTAAGGGTGACTGGATGGACTATAGTAAAGGTGACTGGATAGACTAAAGTAAAGTTGACTGGATAGACTAAAATAAAGGTGACTGGATGGACTAAACTAAAGGTGACCGGATAGACTAAAGTAAAGGTGACTGGATAGACTAAAATAAGGGTGACTGGATTGACTAAAGTAAGGGTGACTGGATAGACTAAAGTAAGGGTGACTGGATAGACTAAAGTAAAGGTGACTGGACAGACTAAAGTAAAGGTGACTGGATGGACTAAAGTAAGGGTGACTGGATTGACTAAAGTAAGGGTGACTGGATAGACTAAAGTAAGGGTGACTGGATAGACTAAAGTAAAGGTGACTGGATTGACTAAAGTAAGGGTGACTGGATAGACTAAAGTAAGGGTGACTGGATAGACTAAAGTAAAGGTGACTGGACAGACTAAAGTAATGGTGACTGGACGGACTAAAGAATGTCCTTGTCTCGGGCTACATTGCATGGGACCCGTTGTAGCTATCTCAGCCATACGACTCGTCTGTCTTCGTTTAGGTATAAAAGAAACAATAGCCGATCGGGTCCCTATGGATACAGCTTTGCAAATTGCATTGTAGGAGTAAATGAGTGTGGTTTAACGCCCGATTTTTTATGCAATACTCCAGCAATATCACGGCGCGGGGCACCAGGAAGGGGATACACACGTTGTACCGATGTGGGGAATCAAACCCAGGCATTCGGCGTTAGGAGCAAACGCATTACCCACTGTCTACCCATACTGTGTAAGACAGCTTCACTGGACTAGATGAGAAGATGCTTCGCTCGTGGCTTTGTACGACGGCTTAGAAAGTACCATTGGCGAAACATAGTTTTTTCTCCAACATGATCAGAAAGAGGTTGCATAAAACAAGACAAAGAAAACATGATGCGAGCGGTGTACACATGTATTCTATTTGAAAGATGTGCTTAATGCAGTGACAAAATAAGTTATAGCAGGATCACTCGGGGTACGTGGGGTTTTATGCGTCCCGCGTTAGGTTTTATACAACGATCCTTCCAATGACTCGGAAAAAAGCGTGCGGCTTTTGCTTTGAAGCGGGGTATAAGGGATATATTCTGCCTCTCAGAAATCCACGTGCAGCCTGACTTGCTCGTGGCGGGGTATAAGAGATTTATTCCCCCGCTGATGAGGAGGGTCATCCCAAAACACGACAAACATCCGTTAGGGTCATTATTTTAAGGACATTAGTGCATCAAAAAACTATGACCACCCAACCCCCAACCCACATCAAGCCCACCCCTCCGTCCACACTCCAGGCATTCCACAAGTAGGAATGACAAGTTGTGCACTCTACTTTCCTTCGTATGAGTGGGGTTTACAGGATTTAGATATGCTCCTCATTCTTTGATCAACGGAAATGTGTCAAAGGCCATTTATATCACAAATTGAGGTCAATATTCAATGAGAAAACAATGTGTGAAACAGGGTATTTCTATGAGTGAGTGAGTGAGTGAGTGAGTTTGGTTTAACGCCGCTTTTAACAGTATTCCAGTTATATCACGGCGTGTCAGCTTGATGTGGGAGGAAAGCCCGAAGTGATGCAGGCCTCAGACGTTTACCACTTTGGTGAAACCCACGAGCACGGGTATGGTGCTGACAAACCTAGAAACATAATCGGGGCGAACCGGGATTCGAACCCATAAACATAGGTTTCTGGCGTGTCCAAGGGACGCAACTCTGCACAGCGAATCGCGGCGCCTAAGACGACTGGGCCACCCGTGCCCCCCGTATTTCTATGAATACATGCCACTTTTTTATGGATGGCAACTTTATTTCTTTCTTTGTACGACGTTTTAGAGTTACTCCTTGCTCCTCCATCAGGTGAATTCATTCATTCAAGGAGCAAGAAGTAGCTCTGAGACGTAGCTTAAAGAAAAAAAGAAGTTGCTATGCATAAAAACGTCTCTTGTATTCATGTTCTCCAAACTTCTAAATGGCTATAAAAGATTTCCGGCTAGTTCTACAATTATTACGTTTATTGTTCGCGTTACAGTACGCATGGGGGGCACGGGTGGCCCAGTCGTCTAAGGCGCCGCGATTCGCTGTGCAGAGTTGCGTCCCTTGGGCACGCCAGAAACCTATGATTGTGGGTTCGAATCCCGGTTCGCCCCGATTACGTTTCTAGGTTTGTCAGCACCATACCCGTGCTCGTGGGTTTCACTGAAGTGGTAAACGTCTGAGACCTGCATCACTTCGGGCTTTCCTCCCACATTAAGCTGACACGCCGTGATATAACTGGAATACTGTTAAAAGCGGCGTTAAACCCAACACACTCACTACAGTACGCACGTCATTTATTTTGTTGTAAGACTTTTCTTTGTTAAAACTATTGGCTGATCTCAGTATAACATGATGAAGTATAGTACTTACTTCGTTCTCTTCAGCGTTATCGAGCGCTCGAATTGATCACAACATTCCGATAGGTCCGACTCTGACAGCGACACTAGTTTACGAGTCATCATGGAATGTGAATGAGTCTCGGAAGATGAATTGGTGATTTCTGAGGAAGAAGTGGCCCCTTCTTGTTTGAGGTGAGGTGAGGTGAAATTGGGTTTAACGTCGCGTCCAAGATTATTGCACTTATATAGCGACGTGCATGTACGTGTGTGTGTGTGTGTGGCTGCTTGTACTAGTCCAGACTGATGCCGATTTATAGTGCTAGCACACTGAGATACCATGCCGCAGTTTAACGTGAATACCTCACTCAGACACAGAATACTGACTCCGACCCGACCTGTCCTTGTTTTAGCCCCTTAATGCTGAGCGCCAGACAGGGTAACAACAAAAACCATCTTTTAACGTCTTTTGGTATGACGCGGCCGGGGATCGAGCCCCGGACCTTCCGCTCTCCGGGCGGACGCTCTATCATTAGACCACGGAGGCGGTCCCTGCATGTTTGAACCTGTGACCAACAACATCGACGAGAACACCCAATAGGGTGCCTATCTTGGACGCATGGATTAACAGTGATTGCAAAATCAGATTGGTTCTTATGTTTAGCTTATTTCACCTGATCACAGTATCCCGTTGCAATCTTGAAATAGCACTAAAAGATGTAGCGACATGTCATAGACTCCGTGAATACATGTCACGCTGATGATTTCAAAAATAGTTCCATTAATTAATGTATACATAAACGGTGATGAGACCCCAAACATTCAGTGATGTTATGCTCATTCGACAACACTTTTTAACCAATCAGATCAGAGAACATACCTACTTTTATGTTACAATACACTATACACATGGCTGAGTGTATTATTATACCTGGGTAGGGTTTGTTTGGGTTGTTGTAAATATAGGCCTCACAACGCGTACTTTTAATTAGGCGCAAAAGCGCCACGTTTACGTTTTCACACTGTTCCTCCTCAATCGTATTTGGGGGGCACGGGGGGCCCAGTGGTCTATTCGCCTTTGCAGAGTTGCGTCCCTTGGGTAGGCCAGAAACCTATGACTGTGGGTTCGAATCCCGGTTCGCCCCGATTATGTTTCTAGGTTTGTCAGCACCATACCCGTGCTCGTGGGTTTCACCGAAAGGGTAAACGTCTGAGACCTGCATCACTTCGGGCTTTCCTCCCAGATTAAGCTGGCACGCCGTGATATAACTGGAATATTGTTAAAAGCGGCGTTAAACCCAAATCACTCACTCCATCGTATTTGGTTTAAATATATTTATTTTCACAAAAGTGTGAAACTGGATTGGTAAACAAGCGAAGCGCTTATGTTAATACCTCTCCATTACACATAGGACATATTACAATGAATACATCAATGAAGGTTAGATGTAACAAATAAATTGTACATGCCAAGCTAGATGTGTATATTGAATACATCTATTTGCAGTTTATATTAAACATTTCATTTAACTGAAAATCTGCCAGTTTTTAATATGATGTTTTGAATAGAATCTAATATTAGGATTTCCCTCCGTTCACAAATACGAATTTCCGTATAGCACTGTTTGTAAAGAATAACCATGTTGGTACAAAACATTTCATTTCGAAGAACATAGTAATTTGTAGGGCTGTTACGATTCACTCGCGTATTCGGTGAATCGAACCGTAACTATTCATGAATTGAATTCGTTATTCATGGCCACTCGAATCGAATATTTTTTAATATGCTATCATGTATATTTACATACCCTGTACCTAAAAATATTCATAACAAGTATTTGTCACAGAAGTGACGAAATGTCCCCCGCCTGTATATACACCAAAATACCAAATATGAAGACAATCCAGCGATTTGTTCTTGAGATATCGCGGCAACACCGTTTTCCAACTCCAAAAGCAGATTTGCCTGCTGTGACCTTGAAAATAGGGTCAAGGTCACCAAAACCGACTGGTGTCTGCGGAGTCTGTATATACACCATAGTTCCAAATATGAAGACAATCCAGTGTTTAGTTCTTGAGATATTGCGGCAACAAACAGGTGGGACGTACGTACGGACGTACGGACGTACGGACGTACGGACGGTCGTGAATACTATATCCCCCGCTTCGCGCTTTCGCGCGGCGGGGGACAACAACATATTATATGCATAGATTTCTTTCAGTGACAACACTCTGATAATATTTAATTTGATAGTATTGTTTTCACTGGTCATTGTCGCATTTGAACATATACTAGTACCTGGATAAGTGCAGTGTATAAATGCATAATTTAGTAATAATTAACAAACCATGTCAAATAAATTATGATGTTATTGTTTCACTGAATATAATAAATACTTCATAAACTGCTGACTTGCTATTGTAATTGTGAATTAATATTCGTATTCGTTACCCTATATTCGTGATATGAATTGTATTCGCCTCATAAGCTTTCGTTTAACACTTCACTGTTTGAAGATTAGTTTTATACCTGAAGTCATAATTTGTGTTTTCCGAAACTGTATTGGGAATAAGCTTAGGCCTACAAAGATATTCCGGGGAGAAATGGTTATTTATTTTGTAAAACATTACCAGTTTTGAATTGTATCGTCTGTCTTTTAATGACTTACAGTTTATATCGTTGTAAGTCTTATGATGACTCGTACCCCGGACAGCGCCACGTGTGGTTCTAAGAGCATCTAAGTGGTATTTTTCCAACACGTTAGCTTGTTCATTAGTACAGTTGTCCCAAATATGACAACAATAATAACAAATTGGTAAAATAAATGATTGTACATAGTTTCTAATCGTTTCCATCGAACTGTGTACATCATACTGGCTCCATAACCATGTGAGAAAAAATCTATCACTATTTTTCATGATACTTGCACTTTAAGAGCAGTAATACACAGTCGCGATCAGTCAGAAGTAGACTAACATTTAGTCTCTGAAATCTTATATTACACAATATCCTTCTTGACTCTAAAAATATAAATAAAAATTCCCTATGCTGATTTAGACTAACATTTAGTCTCTGAAATCTTATATTACACAATATCCTTCTTGACTCTAAAAATATAAATAAAAATTCCCTATGCTGATTTAGACTAACATTTAGTCTCTGAAATCTTATATTACACAATATCCTTCTTGACTCTAAAAATAAAAATATAAATTTCCTATGCTAGAACAGAGCAAGCTTGAGCTGGCTAGACTTGCTTTTGTATGCATTTCTAGATAAAAAAATTTCATAAAATAAATATATTCCACGGTCATGGTGCAGGACTAGCTAGCTTGAGCTGGCTAGACTTGCTTTTGTATACATTTCTAGAATATTTTTTTTTCATAAAATAAATATATTTCACGGTCATGTGCAGGACTAGCTAGCTTGATCTGGCTAGACTTGCTTTTGTATGCATTTCTAGATTATTTTTTTTTCATAAAATAATATTCCACGGTCATGTGCAGGACTAGCTAGCTTGAGCTGGCTAGAATTGCTTTCGTATGCATTTCTAGATTATTATTTTTTCATAAAATAATAGTCCACGGTCATGGTGCAAGTCCGAAGGTACGAAACAAGTTATGCGCCATCACTGGCCCTGTGCATGGAAGCGTGAACATTCTCCTTAATAACGTTAGTGATTAATAGAGCGAAACACCATCAACAAACATTCACTAAACCGAACTCTCTGTGGGAAAATAAACCTACAATAATGCACACTTCTAACATACTGCTTCCCGGTTGAACAGTCTCAGCCTACCTCAGCATCCAGTAGCTTGTTGACATTTCCTCTGATGGCCGTGCCGCGATTGGGAGACTTGACACTACCATGCTCAGAATCCGTAGACACCAGACGGCAGCCTTTCCGTCAGAGCCTCGATCTGAACAAGAGTGAGTGAGCGAGATTTGACCAGCGCCGCTTTGAACAGTTTTAAAGTTATATCAGGCGGGTCAACTTGGTGACAAACATAGAAATATAATCGGGGCGACCCGGGACTTGAACCCGCGATCATAGGAGTATTGTCTAGTGGGGCTTTTGTAAAAGTGGTATATTCTCTGCTGGGGCTTTTGTTAGAGTGGTATATTGTCAGCTGGGACGTTTGTTAGAGTGGTATATTGACAGCTGGGACGTTTGTTAGAGTGGTATATTGTCAGCTGCGACTTTTGTTAGAGTGGTATATTGTCAGCTGGGACGTTTGTTAGAGTGGTATATTGTCAGCTGGGACGTTTGTTAGAGTGGTATATTGTCAGCTGGGACGTTTGTTAGAGTGGTATATTGTCAGCTGGGACGTTTGTTAGAGTGGTATATTGTCAGCTAGGACTTTTGTTAGAGTGGTATATTGTCAGCTGGGACGTTTGTTAGAGTGGTATATTGTCAGCTGGGACGTTTGTGAGAGTGGTATATTGTCAGCTGGGACGTTTGTTAGAGTGGTATATTGTCAGCTGGGACGTTTGTGAGAGTGGTATATTGTCAGCTGGGACGTTTGTTAGAGTGGTATATTGTCAGCTGGGACATTTGTTAGAGAGGTATATTGTCAGCTGGGACGTTTGTTAGAGTGGTATATTGTCAGCTGGGACGTTTGTTAGAGAGTTATATTGTCAGCTGGGACTTTTGTTCGAGTGGCCTATTCTCTGCTGGGGCATTTGTTCGAGTGGGTTTTTTCCGCAGTGGCTTATTCTCACAATCTGTAAAAAAAACATGACTATTGAGGATTAGTATCCTTTTGGTTTGAATGTGATAACTTTGTAGCAGAAACATTTGTTCTAATTATACATAAATGCTGAATGTATTAAAACTAGAACATATATTGTCCATGCGATAAGTTTACACAAAACACAAACATTACCTTGATAGCGTTGATATGCATAGGTATGTAGAGGTCTGCCCATGGTGGAGCTCAGAGCACCAGGTAAACTGCGTATTTGTGCAAAATGAGCAAATTAAATCTAGATTACCCAATTAATATGGGTTAGTTTCTTACAAATAGGCATGAAGAAATCACAAACCAATTAGTAGGACAACTCTGCGTATTGCCCAACGTAGGCTTTCAGCTGGCTTTAAATTTACTCCATTCCTGTACAGATCAAGCAGACATCACGTATACGAGAACACCACAGCATCATACTTTTCATCAGATTATGGTCTGCCCCAAGTGTGAGAGCAACATCAAATCGCTACAGATAAGCAGATATTTGCGTAATCTCCCCCCCCCCACCCCCCCCAAGCCAAAAATAATATTAAAAAAATAAATAAATTTAAAAAAAATAAAATAAAAAATTTAAACGCCAATTTCTTTTAACTAATTTGCGTACAGAAACGCATACATAAAATGAAAAACTGAAATTATAAAAACAGTACACGTAAATACCCCATAAAGATTTTTTGAGCATACGTACAACGGAGCTAATTTCCAAGCACTATTACGAGCTAATTTACTTCCCAAGTCTAAAACATTATTTCATTTCTTTTAAACTTTAAAATGTTCACTCATTTTGGGAAAAGCCCATTAAGAGATGAATAGATGGACGAAAACATATTGGTTACCCAATGATAAATGTTGAAACCCAATTAATATAGAAACCCTATGGTAGAAAATCAATTGCTCATAAAGTTATCTGGAGCTCTGTCGCTACGTCTCGCGTAGTGTAACATAAATCGCTTAAGGGACTTAATGTGACAAGTGCCTTGGGGCAAACTATGAACAGATACAAATTAGAAGTCGCCTAAAACAGCATTACATGTAGAATTGACCCGAGAAGACCTGGGGTAGAATAGGTCTTCAGCAACCCACGCTTGCCGTAAAAGGCGACTATGCTTGTCGTAAGAGGCGACTAACGGGATCGGGTGGTCAGGCTCGCTGACTTGGTTGATGCATGTCATCGATCCAAATTGCGTTGATCAATGCTTATGACATTAATCACTGGATTTTCTTGGCCAGACTCGATTATTTACAGACCGCCGTCATATAGCTGGAATATTGCTGAGTGCGGCGTTAAACAACAAACCAACCAACCAACATGCAGAATTCCTTTTTTCAAAACGTCTTCTCTCCCCCAGCTAACCAACAACGTTGTTACAACGTTGCTGAAAAGTTGTGTGAAAGTGACGTTTGGAAGCAACGTCGGTTTAACATTTTTTCATGACGTTCGTCCAAAACGTCCGCCCAACGTTCTATTAAAACATTGCCTGAACAGTGTGTGGTGGTTTGGATGTAACGTTGGAATACAAACGTTATTACATCGTTGTTTGTTAATATTATTGAAATATTACTTATTACATTATGAATTATATGTCATATATTAAGACAGATAAAACAATTCTTGTTTTAAAACGTCTTCTCTCTATCGTTGGTTTTAAAATACCCCCAAACTTTGAGTAAAAATATGTAAAATATACAGAAAAATACTCAATATGTTGATAGGCGCTGAGATAGGTTCGTGGTTAAAGCGTTCGCTCGTCACACCGTAGACCCGGGTTCGATTCCCCACATGTGTACAATGTGTGAAGCCCATTTCGAGCGCTCCCCGCCGTGACACTGTAATATTTCTATAAGCGGCGTAAAGCCACACTCACTCACACGTGTGTAAATACTCAATGGCGGATAGGGAAATCTGGAGCCGTGAGAGCGTGACATTTGTGAAGTCAGTAATTTTCCTGTACACCCCGCGTACCTCTCAATCTGAGTATATACCGTTTGTACCTCTCAATCTGAGTATACACCGTGTGTTCCTCTCAATCTGAGTATATACCGTGTGTACCTCTCAATCTGAGTATACACCGTGTGTTGCTCTCAATCTGAGTATACACCGTGTGTACCTCTCAATCTGAGTATACACCGTGTGTACCTCTCAATCTGAGTATATACCGTGTGTACCTCTCAATCTGAGTATACACCGTGTGTTGCTCTCAATCTGAGTATATACCGTGTGTACCTCTCAATCTGAGTATATACCGTGTGTACCTCTCAATCTGAGTATATACCGTGTGTCCCTATCAATCTGAGTATATACCGTCTGTACATCTCAATCTGAGTATATACCGTGTGTACCTCTCAATCTGAGTATACACCGTGTGTTGCTCTCAATCTGAGTATATACCGTGTGTACCTCTCAATCTGAGTATATACCGTGTGTACCTCTCAATCTGAGTATACACCGTGTGTTGCTCTCAATCTGAGTATATACCGTGTGTACCTCTCAATCTGAGTATACACCGTGTGTTGCTCTCAATCTGAGTATATACCGTGTGTACCTCTCAATCTGAGTATATACCGTGTGTACCTCTCAATCTGAGTATACACCGTGTGTTGCTCTCAATCTGAGTATATACCGTGTGTACCTCTCAATCTGAGTATATACCGTGTGTTGCTCTCAATCTGAGTATATACCGTGTGTACCTCTCAATCTGAGTATACACCGTGTGTACCTCTCAATCTGAGTATATACCGTGTGTACCTCTCAATCTGAGTATACACCGTGTGTTGCTCTCAATCTGAGTATACACCGTGTGTACCTCTCAATCTGAGTATATACCGTGTGTACCTCTCAATCTGAGTATACACCGTCTGTACCTCTCAATCTGAGTATACACCGTCTGTACCTCTCAATCTGAGTATACACCGTCTGTACCTCTCAATCTGAGTATACACCGTCTGTACCTCTCAATCTGAGTATACACCGTCTGTACCTCTCAATCTGAGTATATACCGTGTGTACCTATCAATCTGAGTATACACCGTCTGTACCTCTCAATCTGAGTATACACCGTGTGTACCTATCAATCTGAGTATATACCGTGTGTACCTATCAATCTGAGTATATACCGTGTGTACCTATCAATCTGAGTATATACCGTCTGTACCTCTCGATCTGAGTATATACCGTGTGTACCTATCAATCTGAGTATACACCGTGTGTACCTCTCAATCTGAGTATACACCGTCTGTACCTATCAATCTGAGTATATACCGTGTGTACCTCTCAATCTGAGTATACACCGTCTGTACCTCTCAATCTGAGTATACACCGTCTGTACCTCTCAATCTGAGTATACACCGTCTGTACCTCTCAATCTGAGTATACACCGTCTGTACCTCTCAATCTGAGTATACACCGTCTGTACCTATCAATCTGAGTATACACCGTGTGTACCTATCAATCTGAGTATATACCGTGTGTCCCTATCAATCTGAGTATATACCGTGTGTACCTCTCGATCTGAGTATATACCGTGTGTACCTATCAATCTGAGTATACACCGTGTGTACCTCTCGATCTGAGTATATACCGTGTGTACCTATCAATCTGAGTATACACCGTGTGTCCCTATCAATCTGAGTATACACCGTGTGTCCCTATCAATCTGAGTATATACCGTGTGTACCTATCAATCTGAGTATATACCGTGTGTACCTATCAATCTGAGTATATACCGTGTGTCCCTATCAATCTGAGTATATACCGTCTGTACATCTCAATCTGAGTATATACCGTCTGTACATCTCAATCTGAGTATATACCGTCTGTACATCTCAATCTGAGTACAGTAAACAACGGTTATAACGAACTCAAAGGGACTATTAATTTTAGTTCGTTATAACCGTAGTTCGTTATAAGCATATATACAGTATAATACAGCAACTAGTCGGGACTATAAAGTTAGTTCGTTATATCCGTTAGTTCGTTATAAGCGTGTTCGTTATAACCGTAGTTTACTGTATATACCGTCTGTACCTCTCAATCTGAGTATATACCGTTTTGACCTCTCAATCTGTGTATATACCGCGCGTACCTCTCAATCTGAGTATACACCGTGTGTACCTCTCAACCTGAGTATACACCGCGCGTACCTCTCAATCTGAGTATACACCGTCTGTACCTCTCAATCTGAGTATATACCGTCTGTACCTCTCAATGAGAGAAATACCGCCCTATAACGAGGGTGAACAGTAGCTAGCTGACCAACGGTAAACATAGGACCTTTACGTATGTCTGATATATCCACTCTCATGTCCCGCCGTGTATCAGAATCAGACAAATTGAACACGAAACTTACAAATGAGATCAGTTATGTCTCCCGGCTACATTTAAAACGCTATAACGAGGAATACAAAACCACGCAATGATGTTGTACATCAGTGATCTAACTCCAGTTGGCTTCACGGGTAAGTAAATTCAGGTATCCAGTGTCTACCTTTGTAAATACAGGGTACAGTGAAGCGACTCGTCAGCAGCCTTGAAGCGCTTCCACAATGACTACCTTCAATACAAAAGCATGACTCTAACATCCCCGTTATAAGACCAAACCCCCCTAATATTCAGTGTCAGGGAATATTTCGCTTTTAGTTACACAACACGTGTCACTACACCCATAGAGAACTAGCGTGACCCACCTGACTGTCACGGCTCACCCCTCCCTCTGTTACATCGTCAGCAGCATCGTCCCTGTCGCATCAGCGCAGTCTGACGCTTCGAGCCTGCTGCGTTTGAGCGGCCTCTTACAGGATTTCCGGAAACCGTGTTGTTCTCGGCTAAACGTTTACAGTTGTTCAACAAACGTGAACTCAACAGTGGGAATCTCCAGGGGGAGTACGTGCTCAAACCGGTTTGGGTTACCGTTAGTTTTAGTTGTACATCATCGTTTCTTGTTTGCACAATACGAGGCCACAGGCCCAAGTGTCTTGTTTTTCATCACAATCGTCGTCATGTAGCTGGAATATTGCTGATTGCGGTGTTAAACACGCACACACACACACACACACGCACGTACGTACGTACGCACGCACGCACGCACGCACGCACGCACGCACGCACACACACAGAGGTTCGTATTGGTTTCATGTAATACAATTGTGATTTTATTTTTGTGTGAAATCGAAATATTAAAATACAGTTTGGCCCTTATTATAAACAGCTCCGTGTTGTACTCGGGTTCACACGGCAATAGGGGCGGTCGGGTAGCCTAGTGGTTTAAGCGTTCGCTCGTCACGCCGAAGACCCGGGTTCGATTACCGACATGGGTACAATGTGTGAAGCCCCGCCGTGATATTGCTGGAATATTGCTAAAAGCGGCGTAAAACAAACTCACTCACTCACTCACTCACTCACTCACTCACTCGGCAATAGTTGGCACAGTCTTAAGCATGAGCACTTTCTTGGGGAGGGGATGGGGGGAGGTGTGTATAATGTTAGATTTTCAAAATTCGGTTGGATAATCGATGGTTATGTTTCCGATACACATGCCAATATTAACTTAATTAAAGCAGTTTGATGTCACACAGCGTGACTGATAAAAACATAACGACGTCACGCAATTCATTGTCCGTGACGTCACAAATTGATAACATCAGGCACGAAGATATATGACTTAAAAAGGTTAGAGGCTTCTCGGTTTAACCTGTACCATATATAGAGCGATCTTAGCCTAAAAGAATCGTACGCCTCCACGTCATGGAGTTACGTTAGAGGTGAGGTGAAATGGGGTTTAACGTCGCGTCCAAGATTATTGCACTTATATAGCGACGTGCATGCACGTGTATGTGTGTGTGTGTGTGGCTGCTTGTACTAGTCCAGACTGATGCCGATTTATAGTGCTAGCTCATTGAGATACCATGCCGCAGTTTAACATGAATACCCCAATCAGACACAGTACACGGACTCCGAGCCGACCAGTCCTTGTTTTAGCCCCTTAATGCCGAGCGCCAGACAGGGTAACAACAAGTACCATCTTTTAACGTCCTTTGGGATGACGCGGCCGGGGATCGAACCCAGGACCTTCCGCTCTCCGGGCGGACGCTCTACTACTAGACCACGGAGGCGGTCAGTTACGTTAGACGTAGCCCCCATTGAGATCGGTTTGTGGGTATTTGTGTGTCCACTTGACCTGAGAGGAAGCCAACTTGGCCAAAGTGGAGACGTTTACCACGTTGGTGAAACCCACGAGCACGGATTTGGTGCTGACAAACAGATAATCATAATCAGAGTGAATCTGGGATTCGAACTCATGATAATATAATTCTGGGACCATAGATGACTGGGCCATATGTGCCAACGTGGGGAATCCATGCTACTTAATCTTCATAGGGATACCATCATTGTCTCGCAGTGCACCAGTATCTGAATACGAACTGATGTTCTGGGGATTCCAGGAGTTGGTACCCCGCAATCTCTGCTGGCCGTCCACTCCTACTTCTCGCACCACTCCTACCGCTCGTACCACTCCCACCCCTCCTTCCACTCCTACCCCTCGCACCACTCATACCCCTCGTACCACTCCTACCCCTCGTACCACTCCTACCCCTCGCACCTCTCCTACCCCTCGTACCTCTCCTACCCCTCGTACCACTCCTACCCCTCGCACCTCTCCTACCCCTCGTACCACTGCTACCCCTCGTACCACTCCTACCCCTCGTACCACTCCTACCCCTCGCACCTCTCCTACCCATCGTACCACTCCTACCCCTCGTACCACTCCTACCCCTCGTACCACTCCTACCCCTCGCACCTCTCCTACCCCTCGTACCACTCCTACCCCTCGTACCACTCCTACCCCTCCTTCCATTCCCACCCCTCCTTCCACTCCTACCCCTCGTACCACTCCTACCCCTCGTACCACTCCTACCCCTCCTTCCACTCCTACCCCTCCTTCCACTTCTACCCCTCGTACCACTCCTACCCCTCGCACCAATCCTACCCCTCGTACCACTCCTACCCCTCCTTCCACTCCTACCCCTCCTTCCACTCCTACCCCTCGTACCACTCCTACCCCTCGCACCAATCCTACCCCTCGTACCACTCCTACCCCTCGCACCTCTCCTACCCCTCGTACCACTCCTACCCCTCGTACCACTCCTACCCCTCGTACCACTCCTACCCCTCGTACCACTCCTACCCCTCGCACCTCTCCTACCCCTCGTACCACTCCTACCCCTCGTACCACTCCTACCCCTCCTTCCACTCCTACCCCTCGTACCACTGCTACCCCTCGTACCACTCCTACCCCTCCTTCCACTTCTACCCCTCGTACCACTCCTACCCCTCGCACCAATCCTACCCCTCGTACCACTCCTACCCCTCCTTCCACTCCTACCCCTCCTTCCACTCCTACCCCTCGTACCACTCCTACCCCTCGCACCAATCCTACCCCTCGTACTACTCCTACCCCTCCTTCCACTCCTACCCCTCGTACCCTTCTCTCGTACCCTTCTTACCACTGTTATCCCTCGTACCACTCCTAACCCCTAACTATTTGTGATGAAATCTAATTATGATATGTGTGTACTCCAAAACAAAAATGTTTAAAATAACACATGTATATAAGTATGGGTACTGCTTTGCAAAACATCTTCGACCTTCTCTTTCTGGACCTGTAAAAAACGTTTGAAGTACAAGCGTCTGTGTTAGCTGGCAGGAAGTAATATTTCCTGTCTGTCGAGGGAGTCCTGTCAATACACTTGAAGCGGTGTTATTTATACAGCCACAAGACTCCATTCAAATTGAACTGATTTACGAGAAACCTGCTTCAACTTTGAAATAACAAGATGGATACATGCAGTCAGTTAATACGCTACCTGATCTAGTGAAGGAGAGGTAATGTTAGAAAACACCAACTTCCTCATCGCAACGAACTGCAGGAAGAATTCGCCATCGGGCATAAGGTAACGTTAATCACTCATCATTCATCACTCATCACTCATCATCGCTAATGGATTCTATATTTAGTCATAGAAGTATAATTATGCATCATGCATTTGTATTATGTATCTCTGGTTGGTTGGTTGTTTTGTTGTTTAACGCCGCACTCAGCAATATTCCAGCTTTATGACGGCGGTCTGTAAATAATCGAGTCTGGACCGGACAATCCAGTGATTAATATCATGAGCATCGATCCACGCACGCAATTGGGATCGTTGACATGCATCAACCAAGCCAGCGAGCCTGACCACCCGGTCCCGTTAGTCGCCTTTTACGACAAGCATGGGTTGCTGAAGACCTATTCTACCATTTATCTCTGACTAAGTTATCTGTGACTAAGTGATGTGTCTTATTTGATTCAATTCAAAAACAGAAAAACAAACAAATTCTGGGGTTGAATGGGTACCCTGCATCACATCTTTTATTAATAATGTTTATTGTTTCAAAGTCTGGTCTTAATTATCTGTAATTATCCTGTTCGTGTCTTCCCTTGTGACATTAAGTTACAAGTCAAACATTCACGCCCTGGTGACATTAAGTTACAAGTCAAACATTCACGCCCTTGTGACATTAAGTTACAAGTCAAACATTCACGCCCTGGTGACATTAAGTTACAAGTCAAACATTCACGCCCTTGTGACATTAAGTTACAAGTCAAACATTCACGCCCTGGTGACATTAAGTTACAAGTCAAACATTCACGCCCTGGTGACATTAAGTTACAAGTCAAACATTCACGCCCTTGTGACATTAAGTTACAAGTCAAACATTCACGCCCTTGTGACATTAAGTTACAAGTCAAACATTCACGCCCTGGTGACATTAAGTTACAAGTCAAACATTCACGCCCTGGTGACATTAAGTTACAAGTCAAACATTCACGCCCTGGTGACATTAAGTTACAAGTCAAACATTCACGCCCTTGTGACATTAAGTTACAAGTCAAACATTCACGCCCTGGTGACATTAAGTTACAAGTCAAACATTCACGCCAGACAACTTGGAGATATGTTCACACTTATCTCCCTACACACGGTCACATGTCGCCTCCGGTGTCTCCCGACAACTGAGTGAGTGAGTTTGGTTTAACAACATTCCAGTTATATCACGGCGCGTCAGCTTAATGTGGGAGGAAAGCCCGAAGTGATGCAGGTCTCAGACGTTAACCACCAAGGGGTGATGGCTTTGGCGGATGCTCTCTCAAAGTCAGTCTGCAAGATTTCTGGTTGCAGGGTAAGTTTCTGTGTCTCGGCTTCACGTCTCAGATTAATACTTGCGCATACATAGATTCTGTCCATAATGGTAAACATGGGTATCTTTATGGATGTAGATGTTAGAAAATAACACTGCCTCACAGGCACAACATCACTAACACAACGTCACGAACACAATATCACTAACACAACATCACTTAAACAATATCAATAACACAATATCACTAACACTGCATCACATACACAACGTCACTGACACTGAGCTGAAATACTTTAAATGTAACTGAAACACTGTAAAATTTTACTGAAATACTGTAAAATGTAACTTAAATACTGTAAAATGTATCTTAAATACTGTAAAATGTTACGGAAATACTGTAAAATGTAACTGAAACACTGTAAAATGTTACTGAAATACTGTAAAATGTAACTTAAATACTGTAAAATTTTACTGAAACACTGTAAAATGTAACTTAAACACTGTAAAATGTTACTGAAATACTGTAAAATGTAACTTAAATACTGTAAAATGTAACTGGGATACTGTAAAATGTTACTGAAATACTGTAAAATGTTACTGAAATACTGTAAAATGTTACTGAAATACTGTAAAATGTAACTGAAACAC